GAGAGAGAGAGAGAGAGAGAGAGAGAGAGAGAGAGAGAGAGAGGAAGGTCAAATCGCCGCACTGGTCGGCGGCCTCGCAGACGTACAACAACCCCAACCACATCGCACATCAAAGTTCACGCTATGGGAAACGAGGCGGCAAGGACGGCGAACGGAAACAACAGAGCAAGGAGGCAGGGTCGGGTTAGGGGGCTCGTGGCGATGGCGGACATGACTGTCACAACCCCGATTACAGGTGAAATTGTGCGGACATCGAAACTCTACACGACTACACAGAGGAGACGCGTTTCCACATCGTCGTCTTATATGTATATATCGTTAGTACCGGGACAATGGTAAAAAAAAAAAAAAAAATACAAAAAAAAAAAAGGCGCGCGGCGACGGATTTTTTGGATCTGTTTTCGTTTTTGTTTTTCGCATTTTCATTACGGCCCTTCAATTCCCGCCACAGCGCGAAAGTCCAGTACAGATTGTCGGCGGCCCAATAACTGGACCAGCCGACCAATTCGCTCCCGCTCGATGAAACCCCGCCGTCGGCCGCCCTCTACACCGTGGGGCCTTGGTGCAGTACCCAGGGACGTTGCGAGATCGGTGAGTTTGGGGCGGACGACCTCCGAAAAACGCTCCCCTAACTCACCGGTACCGGGGGTTTTCGATGGGGGGGGGACCTGTGGTTTAACACTGGGCATGCTCGTGCAAAGAAAGCTTTCCGCCAAGATCTTTTCAATCAGTTGGGGGTGTGGCCAACCCCGAAAGAGGGTGGGGTCGGCCATTGGCCCACTGGATAGAAGATTTTCAGTATTTTATTTGCTGTTGTGCAATTATGTCATTGGGTGGAGCCCTCCTTCAATCACGGAGTACATGGAGGGTGTCAGGATCACTGCTGACAGAAGTCGAGTTTATTCCAGAAAATGTGGCGGTTACTTTGTTCTCTGTTGATGCAACCACCACCATCAGATCATTGGTGATCTGATGGTTGGGAAGCACTCTGCCATGATTTCCGGTGGGAGGTCTCTGTTTTTTTTTTTCTTCTTTTGCCTCTGTTTTCTCAGCCCATAAATTTGTAATGAACCTGTCAGCCCATTGCCACTAAGTGTCACAATGGATCGGCCACACTCCTATCCTACTGCTAATGGGACCATGCTCCAGAGCAGATTGGAGGAGGAAACCAGGAAGAGGCAGGAATATCGCTGGGATGAGGTGGTTTCGGAATACCTGGGCTACGGTCTTCGCCCGAATAGAACGCCCGGTCATTATAGCCGTATCTGGTGCAATTTTCAGTCCAGGTGCAGCTATAATGACCGGGCATTCTATTCGAGTGAAGACGGTAGTTCGAGCCAATTGGCTAGAATCTCTGCATCAGGGAAGCTTCAGTTGGCAGACTGGCTGACAAGGGAGGTTAATCAGTAGTAGTAGGGAGTTAGGATGAACCAAGGCATTGGGTTCCTGTGGGCAGTCACAGTAGACTGCAGCGGGTTGGAGGGTAGGAGAGTTTCAAGTTATCAAAAAGGAACAATTGTTCCTCCGGGCCGAGTATAGGCCGAGTCCGGACCGCTTTTAGGCCCTGTAGTAGAGAGTAGTATGAGGAGTAATAGGATAGTCTGGAGAGGGATAGGTCTAGAAGAGGGTTGGGTGCAGTTAACAGGTTAGAGTATCTGTGTGGTTGACGTGTGATGTTACAGAGCCGCAAGCTAGAGTCTGGGTCGAATTATGGGGCTCATTCGACACTCCTCGGGCGCCGAAATCCCCCAAGGAAATCGTCGTTCCACTTGTCCTCGGGGAAAGAAAAAAAAAAAAAAGTGAAAACATTTCCTCGGGGATTCCTCGGGGCACAGACAATTTTCAAATTTCCCCAAGGAACCTCCGGTAGGATCCTCGGAGCTCCCCCATCGGGAAGAACCCGCTCTTCGACGGCACCTCAGTCGACTTCTTTTGTCGGCGACGTCTGGTCCATCAGTGGTCCGGGCGACTTGCGCACGGACATGTTGGGTCACCAACGTTCAAGAGGCCCGATGTCCATGCCAAAGGTAACCGTTAGCAGGCCGGTAGCATCCCCAAGGTGCACACCGCGTTGCAACTTGGGGTTGGGCTTCAGCCGTGGCGGGAAACCGGCCAACGGTCGGCAAATGCGAATACTTGAGGCGGCACAGCACGTCCGCAAGACGACGACTTCCGTTTGTCGCCAAGCGCGTGTCGCCGTGTGCAGGACGTCGCAGTTACGTTGTCGGCCGTGTTCCCTTCCGTCTAGTGCCGTTGCCGTCGTCCGTAGCATGGCTGACATCTTTCGCAAGCTCCCGCTGCTGCTTCTCGCCGTCTTCCTACTGGTCGTCGTCGTAGTGTTGCACGTGTGTTTCATCGGAAACGCGCCGCGGCGTCGACGCAGACGAACTTCGCCGATGAAGGCCGTCAGGACGGATAGTGGACAGGGCTCCCCCAGGGGAGGAGGGGAGCAGGTTGTGAGCGGGCGTGTCGCTCGGAGTTCTTCTCCGGCTTGCAGGTTGTCGTTAGGGGTCGGTAATTCATCACTGCCGCCGCATTTGCAACCCCTTCCTGACTCATCTGATGAGGAGGAGAGGGAGGGACGGGCACGCACTGTTCCGTTGGGTAGTGGTTCTACGCAGGAATGGTCTTGGACGGAGCTGTTCGGCGGCAGTGGCGGCGTGCACGGCCAGTCCTGCACTGAACTGCTGGCGCCTGGTCTCGATGGGGAAGAAGGGCATGGTGGATCGAACTTGTCTTCCGGTCTGTCTACAGGGAGGTGTGAAAGCCAGTCGCGCACAGTGATCGTCAATCCCCATGTCGGCGACGGCGGCGGGAAGTTAACCGATGTGGACCGATCATCGAAATCCGCAGGCGCGCAAAAGTGGCAGGGACGAGCGACTTCCATCTCTAGGAGCACGCAAGGTCGTCGGTCGTTTATGCAGTCCCCGGCTCTGGTGTCTGCTGCGTCCAACCTGGGACGTCGACGTGGCATTGTCGAGGAGGGGGGGGGGTACTTGGACGACGTCGTTGACGACCACGACGGGAGGTTAGTGTGGGCGGAGGAGCGACGGAAGATCAGGGAGGGGCGAGAGGAAGCAATCAGGCGGGGGGTGGAGCGGCTGAGGATGGACAGGCAGGCGGAAGAAGTTGAGGAGCCACATGCGGGGCTTCCGTCCGAAGACGACGACGACGACGGCGCAGGAGAGGCGGGAGATGGGAACGGCGGTTACGCCTCGCCATCGCAGAACAGCGACGGGGGGGGGAAGGGCGGCAAGACGAAGGCGACGAGCGGGAACGGTCGTGGGCCGAAGAAAGCGCAAGCAAAGGCGAACGACGGAGAAGGCGACGGCGACCCAGAGGAGAAGCGAAACTCTTGGAGTGTCGAACATATCATCGCGCTCATATGGGCGAAACGCGATCAGGATGCGCACTTGCAGGGGATGGGGCATGCCTATGCCCGGATGAAGCCGAGGGAGTGGAAATGGAATGACGTCGCCAGAAGATTGAAGAATGTGGGTGTCGACAGGAAGCTGGAGAAATGCGGGAAGAAGTGGGACAACCTCATGCAACAATTCAAGAAAGTTCATCATTTTCAATCGCCGTCCGGGGGAATCGACTTCTTCCAGTTGAATGGCAAGGAGAGGGCGAGACACGACTTCAATTTCAACATGGACCGCGCCGTTTACGACGAGATTGAAGGGTCCAGCGGTTTCAACGAAACCATCTACCCCAAAAACGTTGCCGACACTGGTGCCCGAGGCGGTGTGCGTTTGCCGTCGACGACAACTGCTGATCCTGAAGCAATTGGTGATGCCGACGCCTGTGCGGGGGGGGAGGATGAGGACGAGGGATCGACTCGTGGTTCCTCCCAGACGTCGGGCAGCCCCCATGGTTTCGGAAAGAGGAAGAGCACGCGGCAGCAGACGTTCGAAGCAATGACGGAGTGCATGGACAAGCACGGTGCGTTGATGGCGGCCACGATGGAGAGTGCCAGCAAGCGGCAATGCAGCATTCAACTACGACAATGTGAGGCATTAGAAGCTGAAGTGCAGGTGCAGAAGACGCACTACGCCGCGTTCGATGAAGTCAGCAAACTCATGTGTCAGGCGTTGATGGAAATAGCAAAGGCTATTCGCGAGCGATAGACTTCGTTGGCATTGTGTTGTGTAGCACTTGCTCCCTGGAATTTAGTAGTCGGTGGATAGTTGGAGGCTTCCCGTTGTAGTCGGCTTCGTCGGCAAGGTGTCCTCATCGCTTGTTGTTGGTGGTGGTTTTTGTAGTGTTGTATTACACCGGTTGAGTGCATGAGTCGGCCGGCTTTGTGTGTGTTTACTCTGACATGGTACGAGACGGGTAATCCCGTCATTCAATGAATTTAATTTGAATTTCAATAGTGCAAAAAGCACTTCCCTTTTTGTTAAAGTATTGCCCCTCAATTCTTCCGTCTCCGACTGTTGTTATGGTCTGATCTCTCTCTCTCTC